CCATATACAAGAATAAACTCAAAATGGATTAAAGACAAATGTAAGACCCAAGACTATAAAACTCCTAGAAGAAAACATAGTCAGTAAACTCTGACATTGCTCTTAGCGATATTTTTTTCTGATCTATCTCCTCTGACAAGGGAAACAAAAGTAAAAATAAACAAATGGGACTACATCAAGCAAAAAGTTTTTTCACATTAAAGGGAACCATCAACAAAATGGAAGGACATCCTAATGAATAGGAGAAGATATCCACCAATGATACATTCGATAAGGGGTTAATATCCAAAATTTATAAAGATCTCATACAACTTAACACCAAAACAACAACAACAACAACACAAACCAATCCAATTAAAAAATGGGAAGAGGACCTAAATAGACATTTCTCCAAAGAGGACATACACATGGCCAATAGACACATGAAAAGATGGTCAACATCACTAATCATCAGAGAAATACCAATTAAAACCACAATGAGATATCACCTCACACCTGTCAGAATGGCTATCATTCATAAATCAACAAATATTAATAACAAATGTTGATGGGAATGTGGAGAAATGGGAACTCTTCTGCACTGTTGGCGGGATTGTATATTAGTGCAGCCACTATGGAAAACAGTATGGCAGTTCCTCAAAATTTTAAAAATAGAACTATTTATGACCCAGCAATTCCACTTCTGGGTATTTACCCGAAGAAATCCAAAGCCCTAATTTGAAAAGATATATACAACCCTTTGTTCACTGCAGCGCTATTTACAATAGCCAAAATATGGAAGCAACAAAAGTGCACATCAATAGACGACTGGATAAAGAATATGTGCAACACATATACAATGGAATATTACTCTGCCTAAAACAGAATGAAATCTTACCATTTGGGACAACATAGATGGACCTAGAGGGTATTATGCTAAGTGAAAGACCGAGAAAGACAAATGCCATATGATCTTGCTTATATGTCGAATCTAAAGAACAAAATAAATGAACAAACAAAACAGAAACAGACTCATAGATACAGAGAACAAACTGATGGTTGCCAGAGGAAAGGAGGTTTAGAGAGCTAGGTGAAAAGGTGAAAGGATTAAGAAATACAAATTGGTGGTTACAAAATAGTCATGGGAATGTTAAGTACAGTATGGGGAATATAGTCAATAATATTGCAACAACTATGTATACTGCCAGGGGGTACTAGACTAATCAGGGAGATCACTGCATAATTTACATGTCTAACCACTATGCTGTACATCTGAAACTAATTTAAAATAATATTGAATGTCAACTGTAACTGAAAAAATAAACAATTTTTTTAAATGAAAGAATAAATCCTAATGGCCTACCTAGGTGACACCTTATGGTTTGCAAATGATGTTCATAATTATGGTGATATTTTTCTAAGAGTAAAAGTGCCTCAACCCACTGCTTTGAACTTGCTTTTGGAAGGTGAGTTTGAGTCAAAATGCTCTCCCCTAGGGCAGGTTGTGCTTCCACCACGCCTGTTAACATAAGAGGATGGTGAAGCCCAAAGGCACACATGTCTCCTTAGATCCTTTTGACAAGGTCATGCTCATCCATAAATGCCATGCCCTCATGAGATGTGATCCTTCACAATTTCCTGATCACCTCTTAACATTAATCAGTTTTGTACTGATCAAAGTACATTCTTTCATTGCTTATGGTCATAATCCCCAAACACTTTGTGATAATAATTTCTGTGAACTTTCCTTACTCTAAGGCA